AACAACATAGATTGTAATGTTTCCAGATTTTTTTTTGTCTCAAGTGGTAATGAGGTTCGAATAGTGCACAGTTGGGCTCAAGTTATAAGATTATTCCCCCAGTGAAATATAAAATTGAGTCTCATCAAATTACATTCATGCTTCCATTTTTCCAAGGTGAAACAGACAGGAAACACTGGATATATCAGATATTCCAAAATCTAAATATTTTGCAATTGTTATCAATCACTAGCTAATGTTGTTTTTTCTTCATCTGTTATATTCTGTAGGATGAAGTTTTATTATTTGAATTAATATTATTTGACCAAAATATCTGATCTGTATATTTATATAAACCCCCAAATAGTTTGAAGCAGGTGGTAAATATATATGAATATATATATATTTGCGATAGGTTTTATTAAGTTCTACCTGTGCACCCTTTCAAGAAATCTCTTTTGCCTGTCCATCCCTAAGCATTCACTAACTCTGTGAGAAGAGCACCTAGTACTTTAGATACTGACATTCAGAGGTAACAGACAGGAAGTGTTAGTTCATTTAAAAAAATGGAGTGCATTTCTAAACATCTATTTTCTTTCTTTTAAGATTCATTTATTTAGAGAAAGAGAGAGAGCAGAGGGAGGGGAGGAGGGAGAAGGAGAAAGAGAATCCCAAGCAGACTTTGTGCTGAGTGCCAGCCTGACGCGGGGCTCGATCTCACGACCCTGAGATCATGACCCGAGCTGAAACCAAGAGTGGGATGCTTAACTGACTGAGCCCACAGGTGCTCCTTAGCAAAAGTCCACTGACCGTACAAGAGGTTAGGATCCTTTCCCCTGGCAAAAGCTACCTGGTTAAGCTTCTTAGACTTAAGAAAAAGTCTAAAACAGGAATTTCAAATGCATATACTTCAGCAACCAAGAAGATAATATGAATATATTAATTCTAATATTTTACAGTAATGGCAATGCAATAAATATTTTACTTTTCTCTTAGTTCTGCTCTAAAATAAACAATGGTACAAGCACATGATAAATAACCGTTGATTCTGATCATAGCAGAGGGCAGACAACAGTCAGGACCCAGCTGAGGTAGAAAGGGGCTGCTCAGCTTTGTAACTGGTGCCACAGAGAATGGGGGCTTAATGTGGCCAGATCTCCCGATTTTTCAAGAGGTGTCATAAATTTGGATTTGTGATATTTTACATACATTTTACATAATGGCAGTATAAAAACAGAATAAAAATTGTAAACATCTCATGACAGTGTTCAGGAGGACAAACAAAACATGTCTTCAGGCCAGACTTGACCCATGTCTGTCAGTTTGCAACCTCTGGTCTATGTGCTGGTTATTCTCAAAAGTTATTTCTCCTGTCCTGAGTTGCAGCCTTATATAGAAATCTGACTGGATGTTTTTGCTTGCATATCCCATAAATTAACATGTTCATGGGCTCCCCTGCCCTCAGCCAAGCCTACTCCATTCCCCAAACTGCCACCCCCCCTCCTCCCCCGCAGTGGTCTGTTCAATCAATGACACTACTGTGGCATATCTGGATACTGTCATCTTGCTCACTCTTCCAATCGGTTGCTAGATTCTCTGAGGTCGTCCTAAATATTTCGTGATTCTGTGGTTTGTCCAACCTCAGTTTCTGCTGATCATCTGTCTCTGGGATTGCTATGATAGCCTCCCAGTGGTCTTCTGGCTGCCCGAGTGGTTTATTGAAAATGCAAATATGACCTTGCCCTCTCTTGCTTAAATGTGTTCCAATGGCTGGCCTTCATCTGCAAGATGAAGTAGACCCTGATCTCCTCAGGCTGACAAAGCCCATCTCTCCCTGTTCCTGCCTGTCTCTCCAGGCCCATGCCTCACCATTCCCTGTCTTGCATCTTGTTGATATCAAAGTCTTGTTTTTCTGCACCCTTCATACTCTTTAATGACTGTGCTTTGCTTATGCTATTCCCTCTTTCTGGAAATCTCTGTTTCTCTTCTATGAGTGACTCATTCTCATCTGTTCCTCAGAACTCTGCTGAGACCTCACGTCCTACAGGCCACTTTCTCCCAGGCTTGTCTCCCACCAGTTAGCATACCATGCTAAAACGAGCTGTTCATCATTTAGGTGGGAACATCTTAAACAGCAGAAAGCACACATTATTATCTTGGATTTCTCAGTTCCCAGCAGTGTTCCTGGCCAAAGGAAGACAAATGATGTTTGTTGAACTGAGATGAACTGAGTGGTTCCAGGGTCTTTGGGGGAGCAACAATAAAGTGGATCCGCATATTCATCAGGGTGCTAGGGAAATACAACTGTTGAGACAGTGTGGGTCACATACTGGTCACACAAACACACTCACACACTTGCACACTCACACTCACAGAGGGCTAATGTAGGACCAGGCAATGGGTTGGTGGGTTGAGAAAATATTATCAGTTTTGGTTAAAACAACAACAACAACAACAACAAACCCTCCCTAGCTGATTTACTGCTTTTCCCCCTAAGACTTCAGGAAAGGTGAATATAGGACCCAAAAGCTACCTGGTTAAGTATTTTCTTGAGTGCTGCTGCAATGTGACTTTCAGTGGCATCCAGAAGGAGCATTTTCAATTTTTAACCCTTTTCCTGGGGCAACCTGGCAAGGACCCCTGAGGGCATTACTGTGGGACTCTTCAGAATGCTGGTATCTGTTAGTTCTCTTGTCCTCACTCACCTTGTGCTTTTTGGACAAAGCCCTGAGGATGCCCAGAAGATGCCCTTGGGAAATGCTCAGGCGTGGGGACGGTAAGTGGGTTTCACCCCACATGCCAGTCCCCACCGAATGGTAGTAACACTAGTGAAACACAGTGAGCCCAAATTCCTGTCCACAAGGAGACATACAAGCAAGCAGTTATGTTATAGAACATAAGTGCCATGACAAGACAGGGAAGGAAGACTCACAGTCCAATCCAAATTCTAGAACAGCTACTCAGCGCGGTTTCTGACAATAAGGAACTTGCCATGACATAAATCAGTGCACTGTTTCCTCTGTCTACAATGTCTTGCCACAGAGACTTCAGCAGTGTGTGTAGTGATGTAGCCAGTTTACATTCAGGTGCAAGCTCTATTACTCCAGGCATGTGGGTGATAAGCAGTTTACTGACAGGAAATACAGTGGTAGTGTTCTAGAAAACCCTCTAAGGTAAACAAGGGGGAAATTGAGAGTTTGTTAGAAATACAGCCTTTGCCATCAGACAGACCCAGGTACAAGCCTTGAGAAAGTTACTTAGCCTCAAAGTCTCATAAGTGGGGTCATAGTGTTTACTTTATAAATTTGTGTGAGGATTATGTGAGAAAATGTTAGTAGACCACTAAGCCCAGTACTAGCCAGGAGCACTCATCCAGTGTGTTTTATTCCCCCTCTTATGAAGTCATAGATATGATTATGCCTGCCGCTCCCTGGAGGTTTGGTGTTAGCTTCACCGAGCAGGTATTGCATGCCAACACTGAGTCCAAACACGGCCAACCGAAATAGACCCCAAAGGGTGCCACTTGGCAGGTGTGGGTACACACTCATTTCTCTTAGACCCACAGCCTCAATCTGTTTTCTATGGCTGGAATATAATGGTTTCAAACTCAGACTTCAGACATGTCAGTTCCTTAAAAAGAGTTTCTCTAATTAATACTCATTCTTAGATTCACGACCATGGGAAAATCTGCTTAAGCCCAATAAAGTATATTTATTTTCTTAGCAGAATTTTAGTCCTATTTGCATGTACAATAATTTCCTTCAACAAAATAGTTTTGTCTTATTTCTAAAGTAATTTATAATCCATAATTTAATAAAGTAAATATAAGGTGTAAAATAAAATAATTCTACCTACACATAATATGTTTGAAGTGAAAGTATTAAAAATAATCAAAGCTGGCTCAAAAGTACTTAGTTATTGTTAGTTGTCTTTTGTATATATTAATTGAAGAAAACTTTGTCATTTTTGCTTCCACAGAACAGGGGAGGGGAGAGGAGTTCAGTAAAGAAAAAGGCAGTAACATTTATTGAATGTCTACTATTTGTCAGAAAAATTCATATATGCCATCTTGTTTTATCTTTACAACCACCCTAGGAGGTTGTTGGAGTCATCTTGCTTTAAAAATGAGGAAATTCAGTCAATTAATTCACATAACAGGGCTGTTAATTAGCTGGGTACCCAGAAGGCAGACCCATTGTTTATTGCCAAGGTAAAGAAAGGGGAGGAGCTTTTTAGAATGTTATGCTGAATTCATTCAGGGGATAGTGAATGCCTCTTGCAAGGGAGGCACCAAACCAGGCACTGGGAGAATTAAATAGATGTGTGGAACTGACCTCAGGGGTTTGGTGAAAGAGGAGTATATGTAGACCTTGGATGCTAGTTGATGCTTCAAGAACTAACTGCTTAGTTCATCTATTGATGTTCATTTCCATTTGTTGATATAATCATTACTGAGAGCAATTATTTTGACCTTGATTGCAGATATCATTATTGGTGAAATTGAAATAATCTTAAACCTTTGAATTTCATTGTTGTAAATATCTTCTATAGCACTGTGACCATATCCATGTTATAGCACAGATCAGATGTCCTCCTAAGTGGACTGCTAATACTTGAGGTCGGGTCATGTTTCATCTATCCATAGTGCTGGGATGCCTTGTCCATGGCCTGACATCTGACAGGTGTTCAATAAATATTTGTTGAATGATTCAAGGTATTGCTGGAGCAAACCATTTAAAAAAATACATAATTAGTCTTAACAATATGAGTCTAAATTAAATTCCAATTAAAAAACTTGTTCTTCCCCTCCCGCTACCTTCTTCTTCTTCTTCTTTTTTTTTTCTTAACATATATTGCATTATTTGTTTCAGAGGTACAGATCTGAGATTCAACAGTCTTGCACAATTCACAGCGCTTACCAGAGCACATACCCTCCCCAGTGTCTATCACCCAGTCACCCCATCCCTCCCACCCCACCCCCCACTTCAGCAACCCTCAGTTTGTTTCCTACAATTAAGAATCAAATGGAGATGTTTTTGATATAGAAATTGGTGTATCAGATCCAGAGAAAGTTGGTGATGGCATGAATGCTTACATGGCTTATAGAGCAACAACAAAGACTTCTCTTTCCATGTTCAGTAAGAGTGAATTTTCAGTGAAAAGAAGATTCAGTGACTTTCTTGGTTTGCATAGCAAGTTAGCAAGCAAATATTTACATGTTGGTTATATTGTAGCACCAGCTCCAGAAAAGAGTATAGTAGGCATGACCAAGGTCAAAGTGGGTAAAGAAGATTCATCATCCACTGAATTTGTAGAAAAACGGAGAGCAGCTCTTGCAAGGTATCTTCAAAGAATAGTAAAGCATCCAACTTTACTACAGGATCCTGATTTAAGGCAGTTCCTGGAAAGTTCAGAGCTGCCTAGAGCAGTTACCACACAGGCTCTGAGTGGAGCGGGAATATTGAGGATGGTGAACAAGGCTGCCGACGCTGTCAACAAAATGACAATCAAGATGAATGAATCGGATGCATGGTTTGAAGAAAAGCAGCAGCAATTTGATAATCTGGATCAGCAACTTAGGAAACTTCATGCTAGTGTCGAAGTGTTGGTCTGTCATAGAAAAGAGCTTTCAGCCAACACAGCTGCCTTTGCTAAAAGTGCCGCCATGTTAGGTAACTCTGAGGACCATACTGCTTTATCTAGAGCTTTGTCTCAGCTTGTGGAAGTGGAGGAGAAGATAGACCAGTTACATCAAGAACAAGCTTTTGCTGACTTTTATATGTTTTCAGAACTACTTAGTGACTACATTCGTCTTATTGCCGCAGTGAAAGGTGTGTTTGACCATCGAATGAAGTGCTGGCAGAAATGGGAAGATGCTCAAATTACTTTGCTCAAAAAACGTGAAACTAAGGCAAAAATGATGGTTGCTAATAAACCAGATAAAATACAGCAAACTAAAAGTGAAATAAGAGAGTGGGAGGCAGAAGTACAACAAGGAGGAAGAGATTTTGAACAGATCTCTAAAACAATTCTAAAAGAAGTGGGAAGATTTGAGAAAGAACGAGTGAAAGATTTTAAAACTGTTATTATCAAGTACTTAGAATCATTAGTACAAACACAGCAACAGCTGATAAAATACTGGGAGGCATTCTTGCCTGAAGCCAAAGCCATTGCCTAGCAAGAAAATTTCTGTTACGAAGATCTTGGATGTTTGTTTCAGTTATGCTGAATTCCACAGTGAAATCATTTAAAACCATCTAAATAAACCACTCTATATTTTATGAATTACATGTGGTTTTTTTATATACATATATATGTATATATATATATATATATATACTCTGACATTTCATTACAAGCTGCATGTCCTGACCCTCTCTGAATTAAGCGGACTGTGGCATGACATTCTGCAGTACTTTGCTGAATTGAACACTACTGTGTCTTAAATACTTACGCTAAAAAGTACACTGCAAGACCAGAAAATTTTACAGTATTTTTTCTTTACAATACATTCTGTAGTGTGTTCACCCTCTTTATGAAGTGAATTATCAATGCATTGATTAATGTTCACTTATACACTCCTATACAGAAATTATGATTTTGTGATTACAGTAATAAAATGATATTCCTTGTGAAGTATTAGTAACAAATTATTTGGGTATGTAAACATGTTCGAGATCTTTTAAAAGCATTTTTAATCACAAGAAATTCTTGTTGCTAGATATACGTAGGTGAGGCTGTTATCCATTAATTTTTTTTAGTTGACAGAAAAAGCTGAACTCTTTCACTATAAATGACTAAATGAAGGTTAAGTTCTCTTCTGAAATCATCATAAACCAAAGAACATTTATCTTTTGATTCTACTCTGGGAAATGCTCTTGTCTCAAGTAAAGAAGAGAATGAATACTTTCCTTTACTTGTTTTACTCTCATCCCTATTACCAGTGTCCAATTTAGGAATTAGGGAAAAAATGTATTTTCGTGCTTCTGTTACAAGTCCTGTGATTTTGCTTATCTTCTATCTTCAAAGTCGACTTGTGTATATTTAATTTATCCTTTGCCTTTTCTGTTTTTCATTTTAAACTTAAGGTTAGATCATCTATGGTCGTAACTGATAATGAATGGTACCATGCTAAAATTCCCCATGATTTGGTGAATAACCAAGGATAACATAAAACACATTAGAAGTAAAATGAAATTTGTCTTTGGCACCCTTCTTACTGATACCGTATCTTGTTCAGATGGCTGTTACCTAATCCTTGATGCTAACAAAAGTTTAAGTTATTACTGGCATCAGAGTTTTCATTTTTTGAAGTGTTCTTCAAGATGCCCCTCTTAAGCTTACCAGCTACACCTCTCAGAGAAGTCAAATATGGTTATGTGTAACTGAGTCAACAAACAATTAATATATCAGAGTATTCTCAGATATGTTTGCTTCCACTTGTTTTAGCTGAAGTTTTAAGCCTACTGTAGGCATTACTGATTTTTAGACTCCTAGAACTCGGAAGAGTAACTAACACATAATAGGTTAATAAGAAAGACTTGATGAACAGGAAAAGAAAATCCTGGAAGATGCAAAATAATATAGGCCCCCTTAAGAAGAAGAAACTGGAGCAGAAATAGGACTTCTGTTGCTTCTGTTAGAGATAACTTAGAAACTTTTGAGAAGTGAGCAATTCATAGTAATATATATCACATGCTATCTTGTCCCATTAATAGTGAGCAAAATCTACAATGATGTTTTACTATTAACCTCCATCGTTACATTACTTCCAAAGATACAGTTTATACAGTAGGTTAATAACTTAGTTATTCCAGTCAAAATCTTCCATTCCTCTGTGGTATGTTCATTAGAATATTCAGCACCTCCAAATAAAATAAATATTTCCATTCTTAATCAAGCTGAAGAGAGTAACAGATGCTGACCCCATTCCAGTCTTCATTCCTCTTGATAGTCTTCACTAAAAAAGGAATCTGTTGGAAATATCAAGTAAATTATATGAGCCTCTGATAGCTACCAACCTTTTTAGTATCTTCAACACTCAGCCCACCTCCACCTATCAATCTTAACATCTATTCATGTTACTGAAATACTTTCACTCCAGTAAATAGAACAAGGGCATTAATAGTGCTGATAATATAGTCTTTTGTATAGAGCTGATTTTTTTTTTTTCTTAAAACAGATAAAGAAGGACTAAGCCTATTATGTGGGATAAGCTGAATCTGGAGTCAGCATATACGTGTTCAGTCTTGCTTCTGGCACTTTGTAACTACGTGACTTTGGCCTTATCACATAAAACTCATCTGTAAAACAAGGGTATAAGACTCCTGAAGTGCCTTTCCACTTTAAAATAGTTTGCTTAAAATACCAAACTTCAGTATCAATATTACTGTATTAGAAAATCAAATTCTAATCAAAATCACCTGTTAATAAAACAAAACTAGAACAAAAATGTGTGTAAAATTAGGATTTCTAAAACCTAAAAGGATGTTTTCCTGATGGTATTTTGTGATAAGCTATTTTCAACTATCCAGCTCATTTTATACATGCATATGTATTTATACTAGCCTCAGAATACCCTTGTTTAATTTGTTGCTCTTCTTTAAACTTTTTAATTTTATTATCCATATCTAGTAAAGTTTTACAAGTTCTTGTAAAAAAAAAAAATGTTTGGTAGGATTCCCCTGGGAAGCCATCCAGGCCTGGACTCATGTTGGGAGATTTTTGATTACTGATTTAATTCCTTTGCTGGTTATGGGTCTGTTCGGATTTTCTATTTTTTCCTGTTTCAGTTTTGATAGTTTAAATGTTTCTAAGAATGTATCCATTTCTTCCAGATTGCCTAATTTGTTGCCATACAATTGCTCATAATATTCTCTTAAAATTGTTTGTAGTTCTGCAGTGTTGATTGTGACCTCTCCTCTTTCATTCATGATTTTGTTGATTTGGGTCATTTCTCTTTTCTTTTTGATAAGTCTGGCCAGGGGTTTATCAATCTTGTTAATTCTTTCAAAGAACCAGCTCCTACTTTCGTTGATCTGTTCTACTGTTCTTTTAGTTTCTATTTCATTGATTTCTTCTCTGCTCTTTATTATTTCCTTTCTCCTGCTGGATTTAGGCTTTATTTGCTGTTCTTTTTCCAGCTCCTTTAGGTGTAAAGTTAGGTTGTGTATTTGAGACTTTTCTAGCTAATTGAGGAAGGCCTATATTGCTATATACTTCCCCTTTAGGACTGCCTTTATTGCATCTCAAAGGTTTTGGACTGCAACGTTTTCATTTTCATTTGCTTCCATATACTTTTTTATTTCTTCTTTAATTTTCTGGTTGACCCATTCATTCTTTTTTTAAAAAATAGTTTATTTATTTACTCGACAGAGAGAGAGAGAGTGAGAGAGAGTGAGTGCAGAAGCAGGGAGAGTGGCAGGCAGAGGGAGAGGGGAAGCAGGCTCCCCACTGAGCAGGGATCCTGATGTGGGGCTCGATCCCAGGACACTGGGATCATGACTTGAGCCAAAGGCAGATGCTTAACTGACTGAGCCACCCAGGTGCCCCAACCCATTCATTCTTTAGTAGAATGTTCTTTAACCTCCATGTATTTGGGGTCCTTCCAAATTGTTTCTTGTGGTTGACTTCAAGGTTCATAGCATTGTGGTCTGAAAGTATGCATGATATGATCTCAGTGTTTTTGTACCAGTTGAGGCCTGATTTGTGACCCAGTATGTGATCTATTCTGGAGAATGTTCCATGTGCACTTGAAAAGAATGTGTATTCTGCTGCTTTAGGATGAGCTCTGAATATATCTGTTAAGTCCATCTGGTTCACCGAGTCATTTAAAGCCCTTGTTTCCTTGTTGATTTTCTGCTTGGATGAATTAGCCATTGCTGTGAGTGGGATGTTAAAGTCCCCTACTATTATTGTATTATTATCAATGAGTTTCTTTATGTTTGTTATTACTTGATTTATATATTTGACTACTTCCAAGTTAGGGGCATAAATATTTATAATCGTTAGATCTTGTTGGATAGACCACTTTATTATAGTGTCCTTTTTCATCTCTTATTACAGTCTTTGGTTTAAAATCTAGTTTATCTGATATAAGGATGGCTACTCCAGCTTTCTTTTGATGTCCATTAGCATGATAAATGGTTCTCTGCCCCCTCACTTTCAATCTGGAGGTGTTTTTGGGTCTAAAATGAGTCTCTTGTAAGCAGCATATCGATGGGTCTTCTTTTTTCTTAATCCATTCTGAAACCCTATGTCTTTTGCTTGGAACATTGAGTCCATTTACATTCAGAGTAATTATTGAAAGATATGAATTTAGTGCCATTGTATTACCTGTAAATTCACTATTCCTGTAGATTGTCTCTATTCCTTTCTAGTCTTTGTTACTTTTAGTCTCTCTTTCCCACTCGAAGAGTCCCCTTTAATATATCTTGCAGAGCTGGTTTAGTGCTCATGAACTCCTTTAGTTTTTGTTTGTCTTGGAAACTCTTTATTTCCCCTTCTATTATGAATGACAGCCTTGCTGGATAAAGTATTCTTGGCTGCACATTTTTCCCATTTAGCTTGTTGAATATATCATGCCACTCCTTTCTGGCCTGCCAGGTCTCTGTGGATAGGTCTGCTGCCAGCCTTATGTGTCTACCCTGGTAAGTTAAGGACCTTTTTTCTCTAGCTGCTTTCAGAAGTCTCTCTTTATCTTTATATTTAGCAAGTTTCACTATGATATGTTGTTGTGTTGACCTTTTTTGTTGATTTTGAGGGGAGTTCTCTGTGCCTCTTGCACTTGAATGCCTGTTTCCTTCCCCAGATTAGGGAAGTTCTCAGCTATAATTTGTTCAACTAAACCTTCTGCCCTTCTCTCCCTCTCTTCCTCTTTTGGGACTCCCATGATATGGATAATATTGTGCTTTATGGAATCTCTGAGTTCCCTGAGTTTGTCTTCATGATCTAATAGTTTTCTTTCCCTCTTCTTTTCAGCTTCATTAATTTCCATAATTTTATTTTCTATATTGTCTATGCTCTTGTCTGCTTCTTCAGTCCTCATTGTGATTATATCCAGTCTGCTTTGCATCTCAGTTATAGCGTTCTTTATTTCAGCCTGACTAGTTTTTAGGGTTTTTTTAATCTCTGTAATAGCGTTCTCTTCTATGCTTTTTTCAAATGCAGCTAGTATTCTTATGACTGTTGTTCTAAATTCTTATTCACATATATTGCTTATATCTGTTTTGAGCAAGTTCCTGGCTGTGGTATCTTCCTGACCTTTCTTTAGAATTCCTCCATCT